GGAGGGTAATGTGCTTCACATAGTCTACAATAATCTTGACTGGATATCTGGGTGCCATGGCCCAGCCAGGCCGACCTATAAAGTTCCTCAGCACGCAGCCACTCTTTGTCAACATGGCACTCCCGTGCGTCTCCTGAAACCATGCTTGGTGTCCAAAGTGAGACGCAGCGTGGTCACACTTCCCCCTAATGTGACATAATGCTCCTGGGTAAACCAGAAGCTCATCAGTCTTTTCCCCAGAGGAGCAGGCACCACCCTTGAGGGATATTTACTCTTTCTCTTGACATGTCATAACTTAAACAGTACGGTGTAAAGGTGACAACAGTTAAATAGGACAGTATAAAGTCAATGCATGTTAAGGGCTAAGGAGATAAAGGAAGAGAACAGACAAAAAATTTTCCGTGGCACTAGGGATTGAATTCAGGGACTTCACAGTGAGCTCCATCCCCAGCTCAGTTTTTATTTCTTATTTTCAGACAGATTCTCGCTAAGTGGCTACATTGCCCAGGCTGGGCTTGAACTTGGGACTCTCCTGCCTCAGCCTCCCAGAGTGCTGGGATTACAGCTGTGTACTGTCATGCCCAGGTGACAAGAATGTTTTATACACACATGCACAAATGTATGTGGAACGAATCAAGGGAGAGATACTCTTGACGGTTACAGCCCTCATTTCTGGAACTGGCCAGGGGCTTGTACCTGGTATTTCTAGCCACCCTCAGAACCCTTCTTGGTACCAAAATCAGAGTGAGTCTGTCTGGATTGCTGTAACCAAGTACTGGGTGGTTTAAACAACAAGAATTCATTTTCCTCCAGTTCTGGAGGCTGGATATGTAAGACCAGGGTGTTGGCAGGGCTGGTTCCTCCCTGGGCTGCCTCCTTGGAGTCCGGCTGGCTGTCTTCTGCACGTCTTCAGGTCTGTCTGTGTTCCGTTCTCTCCTTCTAAAAGTGTTTGTGAGTCCCTGTTTGCAGGACACAATGATCGCATTCACCACGGGAGCGGTGCCTGCACGTAAGTCACCTTGGTTCTTTTTGCTTCCCCTTTACTCCTTCCTTCCATCTCTGGCCAACCTCTCTATTTCCTGTCATCTACCTTCCATTTTGTGCTTTTAATTATTTATACTTTGGGTTTCTCATGTAACAGAAACTGTGAGATACTTAAGCTTGTGCATCTGATTTATTTCACTTAACTTTATGGTCCCAAGACGCATCCATTTTCCCACAAATGACTCACTTTTATCCTTCTTTATGGCAGAGTAGTCCTCCTTTGTGTGTGAACACCACATTTTCTTTGCCCATTCATCTGTTGATGGACACATAGGGCCCTTCCAAGATTTAGCTACTGTGAATTGTGCTGCTACAAACATGAGTATGCATGTGCCATCGTCATACGATGTCTTTAAGTCTTCTGGGAAGATCCCTGGAAAGGGAATAGCTGGGCTGAATGGAATTTCTCGCTTTAGTTTTTTGAGGAATCTCAGTGCCTGTACCAGTTTACTGTTCTCCTCTTCTTCTTATAACGCCCCCCAGGTGCTCATTTTACCTCAATCCCTCGTAGAGAGACCTTGTCTCCAAACACAGTCACTTAAGACCCTGAGGGTTAGGGATTGTGAGGGGACATGGCGCCTTCCACAGCTGGGAAAGAAAGGCTGTCGGTGTGGTTGGGTGTAGGGGAGGGCAGAAGAGCGAGGAGACTAAATTTAGAATGAACCGCAGGGGGGCTGGGGATTGAGCTCAGTGGTTTCGCTGCCTGCTGCGTGAGCACAAGGACCCAAGTTCGATCCTCGGTACCAGAAAAAAAAGAAAAATAAGAAAGAACGGCAGGGGATGCGGGACCACAGTAAGAACCTGGCTTGGCCTGCATGGAATGAAAAGCCAGCAGAACGAGCACAGAGTGTTAAATTCTGACCTGCGTTTCGCAAAAGTCCTCCCCAGAAGGCGAGCGGGCTACCAAGACGAGGTTCCCATAACTACCCAGGTGCTCAGTAAAGGGGCCGGGGCTGGGGTCAGAAGGCTGGGAGAGGGGGCCGGTTTCAGGGCTGTTCGGAAGCGGGAGGCTGTGGGTCAGTTGGGGAGCAGACTCCGGTCTCCGGGACCCGCCTCTCGTTGGCTGTGTTTTCCGTTGTTTCCCGCACAGTGAACGTTTGCGGGGTGAACCTGTCAACACCTTCAAGCAGGCGTTGGAGAAATGGGGACGCGGGGCCCGGGCGAGGGCCGGAGTGTGTGGACACGGAGGCGGCGTCGAGGCTCCGATGTTTCTGCGCTCAGGGTGGGCGCGGGCCGGGGTCGCGGGCAGCAGCTGACCGACGGGAGTGATTAGGAGGAGGTGAGATTTCAACCAGCATCGTGAGGTCTCCAGGAGCGCGAGGGTGGGAACGGGAAGGACACGTGTTGGGAGGGTTGTAGGCGATATTTCTGTCCAAGGGACGTTCTGGAGCAGAGGGAGGCTTGGTGGGGTTTAAACGAGGTTCCGGGGGTTTCCTGGTTAGCTGTGGGCAGCACGGGGTTTGCATCCACTCACTTCCTGTGGTGTCTGAGACTCACCATCACTCTCTTCCCTTCCCCTCTCCTCTCTCTTTTCTTTTTGGTACTGGGGATCGAACTCAGGACCTTGCGCTTGCGAGGCAGGTGCGAGGCCACTGAGCTAAATCCCTGGCCCTCCCATCATTTGGGGGAGGTCTCCTTGAGGTCTGGGTGACTGTCTTGCTGCAGAACTTGCAGCACTAAATTCAATGTCACACGGAGGCTCTTGAGCTTGGACGTGCTGCCCCCTGGTGGACAGAAGAAAAAGTGTCCACGGCACCCTGCAGGTAACGTGTGCGGGTGTGTGTGGCTGGGTGACCTTGCTCACTCCGTGGGTTGATGGGGTCTTGAGGGAGTGGTGCTCCTAGGCCAGTGCAGCTGGGCAAGGTGTTTCCCATTTCTAGTCCTAGGTACTCGGAGGATGAGGCAGGAGAATCACTTCAGCCGTTTTCTGTTTTTTCAGACAGGGCCTCACTATGTAGCTCAGGCTGGCCTCGAACTCACTGTGTAGCCCAGGCTGGCCTCGAACTCACAGTGATCTTTCTGCCTCAGCCTCCCGAGCACTGGGGTCACAGGTGTGGGCCACCATGCCTGGCTCAGCCCAGCTTTTGAGAGCCACATGGGTAACATATGGAGAGCCCATATCATAAAGAAGAAAGCAAATGTAGGTATGCAGAGAAAGATATGGGGTGAAAAATCTGGGAGAAATGCTAAATAGTGACAGATAAAGGAATGAATGTGTAACTGATTCCTCGAGTGGAGGGGAATGAGGACCTGGGAGGACGTGGAAGAGCTCTGGTGGCTCCCATGTACGGTTGTGATGAATGGGTTGTGAGCCGTCCCCACGCTTAGCTGGGGGCCTGATGTTCATCAGGCTGGGCTGGGGTGTGTGAGGATCCTGCCTCCACCCAGGGCACCCTACAGAGAATCCCCACACTGGGGACAGGGTGGGGCAGAAGAGGCCCCACACCTGGTCCCCAGGGCAGCTCCGAGGAGGGCTTGGGTCTGAGTAACAGGAGTAGCTCGAGGGGCATCTGAGGAGCCAGTCCTGGCCTCTGAGTGAAGCGGTGGGAATGGAGGGAGATGGGGCTGGACAGCTAGGGCAGCTGGACCTGGCGGGAGCAGGTGGAGGAGACAGCTCCTCAGTCCTACCTGGAGCCGTCACCTGGAGTATCTGCCTGAAGGCCAGAGGGCTAGTGACACCGTTACCCTTTGGAGTCCTAGTCTGGGCCCCAGGAAGCCTCTGAAGCTCCAGAGCGGGGTGTCCAGGTGGGGACTCAGTGTGGGGAGACTGTCTTCGGAGACAGCCCTGGGGGGAGAGTTGGAGGAGGGCAGCACAGAGGGTGGCTTAGGACAATAGCCAGTTCCCCTAGCATGGTCCTGCCGGCCAGAGTACTGTTAGGTTCGGGAGTCCAGCGTCTTCCTGGGAAGACTTGAGAGGTGGAGGACAGGGTGAGAAGGGCTCTTAGGAGACAGAACAGGTGGGGCAAAGCTCGAGGGGGTGAGCGGGAGCATCTTGGGTTGTGGGGTCCTGAACTTGTCGCACTTTGGGAATTCAGATGGGGACCCTGGTGGCACAGTGGGGAGGGCATCGGGCAGAAAAACAGGGATAGGCAGAGTTCTGGGGGAGAACGGAACTTGGTGATGAGCTTTGGATCCAGGGGGCCCTGGTTAACGTGGAGACTCAGCGTGTGTGTGTGTGTGTGTGTGCGCATGCACGCGTGTGTGTTCTGCAGGAAAACGAGGAGGTGCATTTGAGGTGCTAAGGACCAAGGGAATTTAGGGTTCTGCTTGGAGGGTTAACAGTACACAGCACGGCATGGGTGTTAACCTTGGGGTTGGAACTCTCATGGAAATGTCCCGGATGGGATATGCAGCAACCTGGCCCCGTTCCTTGGGTGGAGTGAGTTGGCCGTTCTTGAGGAACATAACAAGGGAGGGAGGTGGAGCCCCAGAGAATCTTGGGGGACCTTATGAAATGCAACCACGAAGCCCAGCATGGTGGCAATTTCCTGTAGTCTCAGCTCCTCTGGAGGGTGAGACAGGAGGATGATGTTTGCCCAAGAATTTGAGACCAGCTTGGGCAAAATAGAGACATCTGATATGGGAGCTGGGGGGGAAGCAGTAGAAATAGGGGTGAGATTAAGAGATCAGAATCGGAGACCGTCTTGTGTTTTGGGGGAAGAGCAGGTGTGTGTGTCTCCCCCGACTTGAAGGCCCTTGAGGAGGCACAGGTACCCGGATGATGACAGGATTAGGACATGGTGATCAGGATTGGTTATGGGTGGGAGGACTTACGGGGTCAGAATTGGGGTGTCTTAAAAGGATGGATGATGGGGGCCGCTTTAGGCCAGACAGGGATGGGAAGGCACATTCTGGTGGGGCGGGCCTGGGGGCTGGGTAAGGACCTAGGAGACTCGGATGGGAACAAGCGTGGCCTGGCGCCCCCTGGCGGACGACAGGACCCAGTCGGCTCTGGACAGCACTTTTACTGCCCACCCCGCCCCTCTCCTGCCCAGGGCTCAGTAGCACTTGCTGTACACCACGTGCGGCCCCTGCTCCTCGTACTGCTCCCGCAGGACCCAGCAGGACTGGAAGGCGCTCAGCGAGGCCAGGACGGAGCCCCCGATCCACACCGACAGGCCCCTGCCAGGGGCGGCCACCACTGCAGCGCACGCCTCCGTCTCCGCCTCCACGTCCGGGGGCAGCGAGCGCAGCAGCTCGGTCCTGAAGCGGCCCTCGAAACCCGCGAGGAGCGAGGAGCCCCCGCAGAGCAGCACGCGCTGGGCCACGGGCGCCCGCGCCTCCGGGGGCAGCTTGCGCAGGCTGCGCGCGGCCAGGGCGGGGAGGCCGGCGGGCGGCAGCCCCGGGGCCTGCGGGGGGCGGAAGAGCAGCTCCGGGCCCTGGAACAGCTCCTCGCCCAGCGTGAGCGCGCGCCCGTCGGGCAGCTGCACGGAGAGCCGGCTCTGCGCGTCGGGCCGGGCCTGCAGCTCCAGGAAGTCGGGGGCTACGTAGCAGTGGCGGCGCTTGATGCGCTCCACGGCGTCCAGGTCGCGTGGCCCGAGCGCCCAGCCCGCGCTCCGAAGCGCCTCGGCCAGGAAGGCGGTCAGGTGGCTGCCAGCCAGGTCCAGGCGCTCCACGGCGTGGGGCAGGGTGTGGCCTTGGAAGACCGGCGCCGCGCAGCTGACGCCGTGGCCGGCGTCCACCACGAGCCCGCTGACCCGCCCGTGGGCGTAGACGGACAGCACGGCCTGCGAGGCCACGAAGGCGGCCGGGCAGCGCAGCGCCTCGAAGGCCGTCTCGGCCAGCTGCTCGCGGTTGGTGGCCGGGCTGAAGGGCGGGTCGGAGAACAGCAGCGGGCGGTCGCGGGGATCCACGCGCAGGTCGTGCTCCAGCACGTGGCGCCAGAGCAGCTCGGCTGCCTCCCAGTCCTGCACGATGCCGGCGCGCACCGGCTGCAGCAGCCGCAGCTCCGGGCGCGCGCGGGCCGCCTCGCCAAAGAGTGTCTCCAGCGCCGGCTGCCGGGGGCCGGCCGGGCTCCTGGGCCCGCAGCCCAGGACCGTGGCCACGGTGCAGGCGGGTTGGGCCTGCCCGGCGAAGCCCATCTTGCAGGTTCCCGTGCCCATGTCGATCACCACGGCGGCAGTCCTCGGGGGCAGCCTGCGGGGGTGCGGGTCGAGCCCAGGCGCCTGTGGGGAGGGCAGGGGCCCTGGAGGCTCGGGACCATTCACATCCATGGCTGCGGGTGGCCTGGGCAGGTGGCTGGCGAGGCGGACTGCTTTCCCTGGGGAGAGGTTGCGCAAGCAGAGAAGGAGGGCTGAGGTCAGGACAGAGGGGGCCGGGAAGGGCCGGGCCAGGGCTCGGTGACGTCACCTGCCCCTTTGTGATGTCACAGTGCAGGGGCGGGGCCACCCAGGGCTCATCTCTTCAGGATTCTTCCTCAGATGTGAAATTTGGAGAGAGAGGAGGGGACTCGGGCTCAGTCCCTGATTCCACAGGCGTGTGGATCTTTACCACCCAGCATAGACAATGACGGCTGTGGATTCAGGCTTTGAGAAAAGTGCCGTAAAGCATCTATGGTGTCGTGCTGGTGAGCTGGTCCCGGGTCTCCTGAGGACTTCAATCAGAAGGTGACAGGCCAGCCTGGCTTGCTTTCTTTTCTTTTCTTAATTAGTGCATGTTTGCAGTATATAATGATTACATTTATCATGGTGAGTTTGTACCTGTGCATACCTAGTTTGTATGTGCATTACTCTTTTGAAAAGATTTTAAAAAGCTTGATTCTGGGAAAATACACGTAACATGGAATGACCATCTAATAATTGGGTTGAGTCCATTCACATGTCTGTGCAGCAAATGTCCAAAACTCTTTCTGTCTTGCAAAACTGAAATTCATAGTCATTAAACATTAACTCCTTGGGTAGATCAACTAACGGTCAGCTTGGAAGCCCAGCTGAACTGAGTCAGCGTGGTCTGGGCATGGAAGACCCACCTGAGGATTGTTGCCAGCAGCATAAAAAGAAAACTGGTGGGGAAGATCGTTTGTTGTTGATTTTCTTGGAGAAGCTTTCCGAGGGTGGTTTTCCTGATGCGAACTTGGCTGTTCTTATTATTGGAGGAGCTCAGGTCCTTGCTGTTGCTGGGAATGGCTGCTGTTCTGGTCTGGGGAGCCCTGATCTTTGCCTTGAGTGTGTTGCTTCATAGCTCCAGTGCATATCCCTCAGCCTGGTGGCACAAATCCCTCACCCCACCAGTGCAGGCTTTCTAGCTTCCACCACTGGCCTTTGGGCCTTCCCAGCACAGATCCTTGATGTGGACGAGTATGAGACACTTCCGTGGGCTCTAGGCCTCTGGCTGGACTCATGGAGGACATTTCCTTGGGCTTTGGGCCTTCAGCTGGACTTGTGCAGGACACTGCTGTGGGATCCAGCCTCTTGGATGGATTCTTTGGGTCTCTAGGGTGCGGATAGGTCTCTTGCACTCTGCATTTGACTTTTTGGGTGAATATTATAAAATAATCCTATAAATTATGTGTCCTGTATTAAATCTATTCCCTTGCAAAACCTGACTACAACATTCCCCATCCACTCCCCAGCCCCTGACCCACCATTTTATTTTCTGTCTCTATGGGTCTGATGACAAATGGGATTATTTCTAATTAATAAACTCCTGTACAGCAAAAGAAACAACCAACAGAGTGAAATCAGAACTTACAGAGTGGGAAAAGTTTTTGCCAGTGGTTCCTGAGACAGAGGACTCATATCTAGAATATCCAATGAAATAAAAAAAAATTAACCCCCCCAAAATAAAAGACCCAATCAAAAAATTGGCAAAGGAAATAGACACTTCACAGAAGTACAAATGGCCAATAAATACATGAAGAAATGCTCAACATCGCTGGCCACTCGATAAATGAAATAAAACAACATTGAGATTCAATCTTACTCCAAAGAAAAAGGCCATCTTCAAGAAATCAAATAAAAAAATGCTGGAGAGACTCCTGGGAAAAAGGAACACTTCTACAATGTTGGTGGGAATGTAAAGTAGTACAAGTACTATGGAAATCAGTGTGGAGATTCCTCAAAAAATGGAAAGTGGCAACTTTGCCACTTGGACAGTGGCAACTGTCCAAGCCAAAGCATGTCCTTGCTTATCTTGGTAGATGAGCAAAGCAGATCACTGGTCTCTTTGTTGGATGTAGGCCACCTCCACGCAGGGGTTGAAGCAGACCACTGGACTTAACTTTCAGACCGAGCCATCTCTGAAAGCCATACAAACCAGACATGGCTTCTCACCATGGAAGGCAGGGCCCTGTTTCCCTCCCAGCTTGACCCCAAACCTCTCAGCAGTTCTGTCTAGCCTGCACCCTGTTCACATCTGTCTCCTGTGGCTCTCACCCAGTTGCTATGTTAGGGTAACACGGGAAACCCTGAAGAGAAGTTGTTCTATCATTGTACAATGGCTCAGTATTAAATAACTAACAACCCCTTCCCAAAATGGCTTCTGATTAATCATTCTCAAATTGCCAGGCCCTGGATTTCTTCTCGAACTCTAGCCTGCTGTATGGAAGTAGTCACTTTTGGAATATTACCTCACACTGCCTTTTGCAATTTACAGTAGCCTTTTCTAGGGGCTAGCTCTGCTGGATCAGTCAGTTGTTTGTCCCTGGAGCTGCCGAACCTCTGGCCTTACTTCTCTCCCAGATGTTGGGAGATGTTGTTTGAAAATACAGAGGAATTTTTGTGGACTCATTTAAAAAATTTTCATTTTTTGGGGGGGAGGAGTTTTTTTTCCTTTAAAATTTTGCCCTTCCTATTTTCCTTCTTCTTTATTTGGCTGTTTTTTCTGTTACTCTTATCTATTGTATTGGTTTCTTTTTTACTCCTTAATAGGATCCTTTATCTCACTTTTCCCTCCTTTGCATCTTCCAAGCCTTGATTTTTCAAAGTTTACTTTTTTCATGGTCTCATTCCCCACTCCCTCTATCTTTATTAGTATACCCATTAAGCTTTATTAATATTTAGATAGTTAACTTTATGCTATTATTGTTGAACACTTTTCTATTGTTAGCAAAGGTGTATTAGTTGCACTTGGTAGATATTTACTGTGTGTCAGTATTTGTTTTAGTGCTTAGATACATTTCTTTTCTATGGTTGGGAATAGTACATTATTGGTTATTATGTTATGTAAATGCCCAGTTTGTCTTTGATGCTCTTATTGTTGTTGGTTTATTTCTATTGCCAGGCATAGTTGTTGGTATTAGTTGGTTTTCCCTAGATGCCAATATTTGTATTGCCTTTATGTTATGAACAAAACTATGGTTCATTCCTGGAGAACTGGGTGTTGGTGCAATTACACTGCAGCCTCACCTGCCAAATTAAGGGAGGTAGTGGGGCCTTGGGGCAGAGGCAAAGGGCTGTGCTCAGCTATGCCAGACAGGATCACAGGAAAGCAGACATGAATTACAATTATCTCCATACATGCAACATAGTCTCTCCTCTATAATTCACTCAGAAACATCGGCACAGAAGAAAACAGAAACATGAGAAGAGAAGGCAACAAAATGCTTCCAGAAACTCTCAACTTCCCCAAAGCTCATGCATGGTACATGGGAAGGGAAGAAATTAAAAGCCACACAACTGAATTATTTGAAAGGATATAGTGGCTCAACTCATCATAGCTAAATCTTGGAAGCAGCCTATATGTCTACCCACAGATGAGTGGATAAAGAAAATATTTATACACAGTAGAGTATGATTCTGTCATAGAAAGGATAAATTTGAGTCACCTTGGGACGATTATTATAAGTGAAAGATATTAGATATACACGCTTAAATATCTCATGGTTTTTTTAATGTGAGAATCCCAAAGTATAAATGATTTAAATAGCAATGTAAAGGATAGACAGTAGGAAACAGGGAGATAGATCTTTTTGTCAGTGGGAGTGGGGTCTATTGGGGGAGGGGGAGGGGAAGAGAAGGGGTGAGGGATAGGCCTAATAAAAAGAATCCAGACCTATCATGTACAAGTACCAACTCTGCATGATGAATGTAATTGCTGTGTAGCACAAGCATGGACTAATGAAAGTTTTAAAAAACAAAAGCAAAAATAGACAAATGAGATTACACCAAACTAAATGGCTTCTGCAAAGGATACAACAGAGTGAAGAGATAACCTACAGAAAGGGAGAAATTTTGGGCAAACTACATTTGACAAGGGGCTAATCTCTGTACTATATAAAAAAATCAAATAACACCAGAAATTATTGCCAACTAGAACAATTGGCAATAAAGACTAACGAACATTTCTGAAATAGAAGATGTACAGCGGGTAAATAGGTATAGGAGAGAGTGTTCAACATCTGGGAATCAGGGAGAAGCAAATATAAATCACACTGAGATAGCAAGACAGCACCTCAGTGCAGTAAGAATGGCTGTGATAAAAACACAGATGATAACAAGTGCTGGGAATAGTTGAACAGTTGAATGTTAATTAGTACCATCATTGTGGAAAAGAGGATAGAAGTTCCACCAGACATCAAAACTAGAACTATCCCATGATCCAGCAGTCCTACTACTGGATACATTTTTCTGGGGGATACATTTTCTAAAGAAATGATAGCAGCATGCAAAATAGACATGTGTACTCCTGCGTTTATTCCAATACTATTCACAATAACTGAGAAATGGAAACAAGCTAAGTGACCATCAAGTGATAAATGGGCAGGAAATGTGGTATATTTACACAACAAAATACTATTCAGCCATTAAAAATGATGGGATCCTGTGAACAGTCTAGTACAACATGGAAGGGACTGGAGATCATTATGTTACAAGAAATAAGTGAGGTACAGAAAGTAAAGTACCACTTGATCTCATTCACATGAAAAATGGAAAGAGCTGATCTTGCAGAAGTTGAGAATAAAGTTTTGGTTACCCCAGTCTAGGAGCAGAAGAGAGAAAGGGAAAAAGAGAGGGTCATGAAAGGGTATGATGTTATATTTTGGTAAGAATAAGTGGCTCTGGTGTTGTGTGGCCCTGTAGAGTGATTATGATTATATATAATGGTAATGTATTTTTCAAAGATGATGAAATAATTTGGAATCATTGTACTATAAAAATATTAGATGTTTCAGGACACAGATATGTTTAATATGATTTAAACGTAATGTGTTGATGTATCAAAACATCACAAGGTACCCAGTAAATATGTTATGTTTTATGTTTAAACATACATTTAAATATCTGTTTAAAATTTGAATTTGGGAAAACGATTAAACTAGTCAACAGAAAGCTAATTTCAAGAGCTATCAATACACTGATCATGAATAAACTATTCTCTTCATAAAGGAATATCATAGAATATAAGGCAAAATGCTTTAAAGTAAATTTTAATTCACTTCTCTTAATTTATAATAATTCAGATAACTAAGCTAAATAACTAATAACTAAACCTAAACATCAGACAGATGTCAATAGTAGAATTAGCATCAGGGATCTATTTAGCATA